TTGGCTGGTAAATCCTAAAATTGATGTAAATTATTAATTATTTTATTATTAAAACTTATATTATTATAAAAACATAATATGATTATACATTTATACACACTCACCTTCGTCATTTTTAATTATTTCTATGAATAAATGTTGGTTAGATAGAAATGGTGTTAATGTTTTAATTTTCGTACATGTATTATTGCCATTGGTACATGTATAATGTTCACAAATATTGCTAATGATACAAGTACGGTCATAAATAAATTTTTCAAGTTCATCGAAGTTTCCATAATACATGTAGGTTATGTGGGAGTATTTGTAACTCGTTTTATTACAATTTGAGTCAGTACATTCTGTACTATCATAAATGGTCGGAAGGTCTGGCATAAAACGTTTTAGTAAATTGTTGAAAGTTGTTTCACATTTGAGAAGTGTTTGATTGTACTTTAAGGGAGTTTGTATTGGTTTCTGTAAATCAATTATAATTTTTGCTCTTTCTCTGTATGTATTAACTGCAATTCCTTTTGATAGAATGTCTTTAATAAATTTTATAAATATAGAACTGTTGTTTCTTTCTTCCTTTAATTTTAAATATTTTTCACTGTCACACATAGCAACCATAATCAAAGATACTGCAGTGTCAAAGGCACATGTGTTAGTGAGGACAATTTTTCCATATCCTTTTATTTGTAAAGCTTTCAGATCTTCAGCTCTTGATCCATTTTTTAATATTGGCAAAGATCTGTTGCTTTTTTTTGAATGCAAATCCAAATACTTCAAGTGAGGATTTGGACTCGTATAAGATTTAATTTTTTTTTTGTTATTTCGATACCAATTTTCTTTTGCTGTATCTTCATCGTTATATTCATTAATTTCAATGGATTTTCTTTTATTTTTTATTCCGGTGGACATATTGTGGATCAGCTCTATAGTTGATCCATTTAGAGACTGATCAGAGATATTTTGGCTAGTAATGTCATCATCTTGTTCTACAATGCATGTACTAGGAGAGATAGGACGTAAGGTGTAGCCTTTCAGTGACTGATCAGCAACCACGGACAACTGAATATCATTATTTTCTGCAGTATTTATTGTGTTGCTATCTGTGTGAAATTCGCCATGTTTTAGTACCGCACTGCCTTTTAGTGAAGTTACACGTCGTTCTATAAATGATTCCAGATTGGTTGGCAATGTAATATCTTTAAATGTAGTGTTTTTTATTTTATTGAACATCGACTCGACTGCTGCTGATGATTTTGTTGGTTTTCCGTAACCAAAAAATGGAACCATTATAGCACTCCACAAAGGCAGGAGTTTTATTTCCTTCTTTAATAATGGAATTATTGAAGGTAAATACAAAGGATTTATACCACTACCTTCTTCGATATGATTTTGGCTTTCTTCATATATATTATTTGCCCACGACACAAATGGGTTCATTGTATCTTCTAAGCCTTTTTCAGTATTAAATGCCATCTCAATAGTATCTTCCATATTCTCTGAACTTAATAACAACTCATCAAATTGAAAATTTGTTAGTCCACTTGAAACTACCTCCAGGATTTTTGTCTTATGGATCTCACATTGTGTTTTAGGCCCAGTTACTATGTTGTATCCATCCGATTCGTTTGATGCAACTATAAATATTGAAATGAGTAATGACCGTATTTCTTCCAAGCTTTGGCTTTTTATTATCGAGCATATAGTTCTAAGGTAAATTTCCTTTACTCTTTTGGAGGTAGTTACAAATGATGACCATTTAGTTATATTTTTTATGAAGTGAGCTATATCAATCCTTATAAAGCATCGTGGCAACCAAAAATTAGGATCAGAAACATTTTTTAGTAAAAGTTGAGAGCAAATTCTAACATAATCACTGAGTGACGTATATTGAGTGAAACTCCGTACTAACGCAGACAATAATGGAAGGGACATATCACTACAAGTCTCTTTTGGTGGTGGAACGTCACTTTTGAGCCATGAAGCAAGCCAATGATAAATTGCAATATTGTCATGCTTCTCTGATACCATAGAACATGCCGTGAATGAATTATTCCTTAAATCATCATATACAACTGCTTCGTATAAATATATAGTCTTTGTTTTAATTAGACCAAGTTTATTAAACCGTTTTATAACATTCCCAGTAGCATCGACTATCAATGACGGATAGGATGAATTTTGAGAATATGCTCTATACAGATGAATAAGCTCTGGTGTATATAAGTGAAGAAAAAAAGGATCTAATCCAATTTCATGAATACAATCTCTATACATATTCTCCAATTTCATAATTAGAATAGAAGTAATTGTATCAGAATGTCTATTCATTGATTTCATTTCTTTTGATTTGGCTACTCGTAAAGCATTACTTGATGGGATAATGGGAGGTTCTGACTCACTTAAAGTAAATTTAAACACATTTTTTAAAGTATTCTACTTGCAATTTAAGGTTTCAATATTTTAGATTATGATCAAAGTGATGAATGTATTGATTGTAAAATTATGTGTTTTTTTATTTTTATTTTGTCGGTCATCGTGTTTTACAGCAGTAAAAGTGCTCAGATTTTAAGATTCAGGTTTTTGGTAGCAAATTGTATCTAGTTTTGGAAAAAATCGATTATTATATTTTGCTGTAACTTAAAAACTCAATACGGTAAATACTTTACATTTTCACCAACATTTTAAGCTAACATTTACAAGGCATAATTTTTAAAATATTTCTCAAGTTTATAATCTGCGTTTACCTATAGGAATTTAGAAATATTATATTTTATTTTAATGTTGATGAATGAAATTATGTTCGACCAACAACCTAGAAATTATAAAGTATTTATTGTCCTTCGAAGACTGCTAATTTAAATAACTGAGATTAATATCAGGATATTATTAAATGAGTATTTTAATTTAGAATATTTAAAAAACTTGTAAAAATTATGGTATTAATAATAGAAAATATATCCTAGGCTGACATATTATCTCCGTAGAATCGTTTTTTATAGTATTTAAATTACTAAATTACAATTACTTATCATTTAATATATTTACACATCCACTAGGTTCATTGGACACATCGTATAGAGCAGGCCGGTACCCACTTACCCGCTTGTTATGATTTTAATTATTTTAAACACATTTTTTTTTTATTGATTTTTTTATGTTATGGGCCTATAGTGTCAAACAAAAAAGGTGGGCAAGTGGATGTCTATCTGTTGTACACTTCCGTTTTTTCCGTAATTTTTCTTTTGTTTTTCACGGCGCTTTTGAAAACTGGGGATAAAAATTAAAAAAAAAATAAAACAAATCATTGTAAAATCAATACATTCATCGCTCCCCTCAGAATCTAAAAGGGAAAATTAAAGTATTCTTTAAACGGAAAAAGCAAATAATGTTTAAATACTGGAAACGAAAAAACCATAATTCTTTGTTGATTCAAGCCCCGATCGTTATACCCCAAAAAAATGTTTTATTACGTTAAGCCAAACAGTTCAGTATTTTATAGTTTGTATTGTTTATGGTTATACAGGTATTTCTTTTTTAATTTTTAATACATTTATTTTCAAATTGTTTGACCTGATACCCGTTTAAGGGTGACAAAATTAAATATATTAACAGAAATTTAGCAATTCACCTTGTTCCATTAAACGTAATGCTTCTTCTTCTCTAAGGAGTTCAGAAGATTTTCCTTGATCCAACATCTTTTGTAAGGTTATTTCTTTAACCGCGTGTGTCATTCGGCGTTTTTGGTTCTTAACATGAGAAGCACAAAAATTACCCACATATTTACATTCAACTAAAACTCTAAAAGAAATAAATATCAATAAACAAAATGTAATTAAATCAGAATATAAATAAAAAAAAGTAGAATAAATAGTTTTTACCTAGAATTTGGTGAAGGTTTATGACTAACAAACCCTTTGAAATTAGAATTACACATTTTACACCTTCCAACAATCGATATATAGACCTCTCCAATTGGACATACTTTGGCTCTTTTAAACACTAAGCAACATTGCAAATGCGTGAGTTCCCAAAAGTGCTCTGCTATTATATGTGACCATTCTCCACTAGGTAAAACTGTATAAATTCTTTTCTGATTCTGACGTTTATATTGTATTTTTGTCGGTTCAATTATTCTCCATTCTTCGACTGATAATGTCATAGTAAATTTTTTACATGGTAAATTATCATTATCATCGTCAGTGGTAAAATCACTAGTACTGCAATTAGCTAAATAAATAATTTAAAGTAAATAAAGTTGAAATATATTTATTTTTAAATTGAAGTATATATATTTATATATTTAATACATACAATCATTAGTAAGTAATTCTTCATCTTTTTTCGGTTCTGGTTCTTGATCTTTGTAAAAACCTATTATGCTTAGAACACCTCCTCGATTAGCTTTCACAAATAAATGGAGAGCTGCCGCTGATACTGCATAATTTAAATACTTTGACAAATCTGTCCAAACTACATCAGATGGATAAGCAACTCCTAAAAATAAGATATATGTGTTATGAATTGCAGTTTAGTTTATATTCATAATTACAAAAAATTTAAAAGTTTATTTTGGTACATTAGTATCATCAAATATAGATTCTGTATTATCTGTTATAAACTTGTAAAAACACACAATATTTGGCACAAAATACTGATCTTTATTTTATAATTAACTAGACTTTTAAACACATACTAGAGAACCATCACATCCGTCGCTTGGATCGATACTGATAGGTCGCGTACAGTGGTCCCTACTGCCTATCTCCTTATCATAATATACATATTGATAACATTCGGGCATCCTGTCCTTAGGCTGTCCTCAGCCGTCTTGGCTTACAACAAGAGTTTCAAAACATTTAAAGTAAAACAACTTAAAAATCATACAAAAAAAATACAAAAGATAAACCTAACATAACAAATATTATATGATACTTAACATTACATAATTCATTTTATTACATTTACTGGTAATACTTAGTTATAAAAAAAAAATTACTACATTAGATTTATCACATCTTGTACGATGCATGCCAAACAGGAGCTTTCCTCTCTCGCTTGGAATGTATCTTGACAGACTCAGTCTGCTCTACCTCTTCGTTTACAGCGGTTGGTACATCTTCTTGTTCGTTATCTTTGTTCCCGTCGAATGGTTCTTCATTGTCAGGTAAATGATATCCTTTTATGTGTGACACATGTACTACTGTTGCATAACGTTTACCAGCCTCTGTCCGTAGTGCTGACACTCGGTACGTATCGTTAGGTAATACATCTGTTATCACTAGCGGCCCTCGATACTTAAACTGTAGTTTGGTCGACTCTCCTGTAGCATCCGGTGGCTTCCTTATGAACACCGCTTCTCCAATACTATACTGCATTGGTTTAACATGCCTGGAGTCATATCGTTGCTTCCACATCTGGTGTTCCTTTGTAATGCGCTCTCGTATCTTACTTTGGATCTCTGCTGTTGAATCCCATTCATCAACTTTTGTGACATGATGTAGTACACCATCCCTGAAACTTGGGTAGTACCCGAACAAAACGTGGAAAGGTGTATCACCTATAGTCTTATTGTACGCATTGTTCAAGTGACACTCCACATCTGAAATGTGTCTGTCCCAGGTCCGATCTGACCCCATGGCTGACTGCATCACTGGTACTAGAGTGCTGTTGACGCGCTCTACTTGTGGGTTAACAGTTTTCTGAGTATTTAAATGTACTATAGCTTGACAATCCGTTATTATTAAGAACTTAATACCTATCAGGTAGTGCCGCAACTTATTTAAACTCCAAACCACAGCCATTAGTTCCAACTTGCTCGAATGGTAATTTCTTTCTTCAGGTGTGGTCTTTTTGGACACTGCATGAACTAAGTGTAGCGGGTTGTCTCCATCGCCGTTCCTTTGGAGCAGCATACCACTCAACCCATCACTACTGGCATCACAATGCACTTCTGTATGCGCTGTGGGGTTGTACAGCTGCAGGACAGGTCTGCTAACCAGTTTAACCCTCATAGTTTGGAAAGCAACTTCCTGTAGTGTTGTCCACATATAAGGTACCTTATCTTTGAGTAACTCACTGATTGGTCTAGCTATGTCCGAATAGCGTGGTATGAACCGTCGAAAAAATCCGCATAATCCCAAGAATCTGCGCACCTCATGTTTGTTCCTTGGTCTTGGATACTGCTGTATGGCCTGCACCTTCTGCTCTCCCGGTCGGACACCATCAGCTGACAACATATAACCCAAATAAGCAACTTCGGGATAGGCAAAATAACACTTACTCAATTTTAATGTTAACTTAGCCTCCTTGAGCACTTCTAATACTTGTTTCAACCGTTTGAACATATCATCACTTGTGGTAGATGGTATTAAAATATCATCTAAATACCACATGGCCACCTTGTCTCTTAATGGGCTCATTATCCTCTGCATGAGCCGAGAAAACTCATACGGCGCATTGATCAGGCCGAAAACCATGCGTTCGAACTGTCCAGATTCACTAGGTGTCACAAAGGCGGTCTTCTCTTTTGCTGACTCAGTCAGCGGCACTTGCAGGTAACCCGAGGCGAGATCTAACGTGGTGAACAGTTTGGCTCCGTACAATGATTCTAAATGGTCATCCAGGTTGGGGGTTGGAAACACCTTGCGTACCGTTTGTGAATTAAGTTTTCGGTAGCCAACCACTAATCGGGCGTCTCCGTCCTTTTTGGTTACTAACAATACCGGTGATGCATAAGGGGAGTTGGTCTCAGTCACTATTCCAACATCCTTCCACTCCTTGACGATTCGACTGATAGTCTCACGTTCTGTTGCACTAGCTCGATATGGCCTACCAACTACCGGTTGCCCAGTGTCCACAATGTCCATCTGTATGACGTCGGTACAGCCCAGTTCTTTCAGATTAGAAGCAAAACACATGCGATATGAATTTAAGAGTTCCAGCAGTGCACATATCTCGGTCTCCGTGAGCATGGGACCCATGTTCACCTTCTCTGCAGTGATCTGCTCCACCACGTCATCATCACTAATTTGTGGTGTTTTGTTATTCACGCGAATTGTACCTACCTTAGCTCCATGTTGCAACTCTACTTCTTTAATGCTGTCATTTATGATCATCACCTCCATCTGTTGATCTCCAGCCAGTACTTCAACTAGTTTCGCACTATTAGCAGGTAGTTTTTCAATTGATTGAATTATTCTCGTGTCATACACTTGTGGATCTCTTGGTGGTATATCGTCATCATGGTAGGGAAACCGCATACCGTAAGCGAACAGTAATTGTTCGTTTGTTTTGATAAATGTTACTTCGTTGCATTCCGTAAACGTCCTTCCTATGATTACATCATAATTCTGCATCCGATCGTCCACTACGATCAATGGGATTTTCTCGCTCACTTGATCGATGCTGATTGTAGCCCACGTTTCACCACAACTTTCTACAGACTGTGTATTCCCATATACCAACATACTGACCCTTTTTGGTTCCACGTGTAAACCATAACGCACCGCAATCGATTTCCGAAGTATTGAGTATGCGCTTCCAGTGTCAATCAGTCCTTTGATCGGCTTATCATGTTCATTGATCCGTACCTCTTTAATATAGCACATCACTTGTCCTTTTGTTTGAGTACAGACCACATTTACTTCTGGAATATTTGCCTTACAATACTTAATAGTATGTCCACTTTTATCACATTTCTTGCAATGCATCGGTTTCCGCGGTTGAGTACAGTCACGGGCGATGTGACCGTATAACTGGCAGTTATAACATCGCGGACCCTCCTTTTCACGTCGTAACGTATTGACTTTTGTGGACACATCATCATCATCCTTACGACTAGTATCCGAAACTTTTCTTACAGACCCTGACGATATGTTTCGTTTCTTGTGGGTTACTACTGACGAAAACCTCTCACTACGATTTGCCTCCACCTCCATGTACGTGCGTATATCTGTCAGGAGCTCCGCTTCGTCAACATGTCCGTTACTCAGTAGTGCAGTAGACATTTCTCTGGAATGTAATCCTATACATATCATTTTTTTTGTCTCTGCTGCGTTCAGTTGTAATCGTCGACACATTCTTACTTTTTCGTGAAAATAGGCGAACACCGTCTCATCACGCTGTTGTACCCGTTCACTCATTTTCTTCCACGTTTCGGTAACACTTTCCCGACTAGTGAACATCGCCTTAAATGCTGCCGTGAACTTAGATACAGTGTCCAGTTGGTCCATGTGACTCAGGTACCATTGTTTCGCAGCTCCTTCCAATTGTGATCGACCGGCTTCCAACGTGCATTCATCGGGCCACTTGTTCAGCACGGAGGCAGTGTTTAACGCATTTAACCACTCCGAGGCTACGTCCGTATCACCCGATTCACCGTTAAATTTTGGTATCGTTTGCATGATGGTAGGTAACATAGTCGTCGTCACAGGCACTTCAGATTTATTCTCCATTAACTTGGACAGTATTGCGTCCATCTGTTGTTCTCGTAATCGATTCTGTTCGAGTAGTGCTCTTACCAGTTCGTTCACATCGAACTGGGTTGACGTACCGCCACTCGAAATTTGTTCATTATTTAGCGGCATTGTACACACGATCGCAGTAAACAACAATAAAATAAATAAACATCAACAGTGATATCTTCACTATCACCTATTCGTTGATTACAACACTCTTAACCACGGTATACACTTTACTACACGATTAGTGAATCCGTCACTAGCGTCGACCGTCGTGTTGGTCCACACTACAACTCGCACTTCGAAGTTTGAGGTTACGATTTTTAGACGTCGCAATTTGTCCCGCGTAATCGTACCTCGTGATCCCAAACGGCACTCGCAGAATATTGTTACCTCAAGATGGCGGCTTCAATATTATTTCTCGTTCGGTGGACTCTTCCTGCGCTCGGACCACAAACGAATTTCACGCACCATCCGCTGTGGTGTGGCAGTAGAATCCCACTTCTGAATTGTTATAAACTTGTAAAAACACACAATATTTGGCACAAAATACTGATCTTTATTTTATAATTAACTAGACTTTTAAACACATACTAGAGAACCATCACATCCGTCGCTTGGATCGATACTGATAGGTCGCGTACAGTGGTCCCTACTGCCTATCTCCTTATCATAATATACATATTGATAACATATCACATTCAATAAGTAAAACTTTTTAAATTTAAATTAAATATTTTTATATCACATTCAAATACATAAAATTATCTCAAAATTGTGATATTTAATAGATTTAATTATCGGGTAAAATGGGAATGAGCCGTATGCATATTTGAAGAATCATCCTGTATATAGCCATATAGGTAATACTATTATATATTTATGAAAATATAATATGATAGGTAATAGTTAAATAACAAAAGTAAATATTAAAGATATAATTTATTACTTATTCCAGAAATATTATAAATTATATATTTATGCTGATTAAATTATATTAATACGAGAATGTGCTAGATAGTTTTTTAAGTAATGAGGATTAAATAGTGTGATGATAATTATTATAAATTTGTATTGGAAATTACAATTTGAGTATAAATGAACTTTGAAAAATTTCACGATATGATCAATATATTTGATTAATTGATTGTTTAAATTAATAATTATGATTTCAATCAAACGTTAATATTAAAAACACACTCTTCAAAAAAAAAAAAATTATCTAAAAATATGAGCATTAACATACATTACTATATAAGGTTTCTCATAAGCAACTTTTATCAAAATAAAAAACAGGAAAATATATATATACATTTATTTTGTTATTTAACCATTTAAATTATCATGAACGTGAACGAAATGAAGGATATGTTGGTTTTACTATGAATTATGATGATATGATTATTTGGTCTTGTTGAAGGGTACAGGCATGGGCACCAGAATGTCATAACAACTTCTTACCTGATATAACTTTCAAAATATTTTATATTTTTTCAACCTGTTTACCTATGGACATTTGAAATTATTTATCTTTTAAATTCTTGAAATGAATGTATTGTTTTGTTTTGTGTGTTTTATTTTTTGTATTTGTGTAAACGACAAATAGTCGAAATAATGCTTTGATTTTCATCAATACTATCTTATTCAATGGGAAAGTAAACCTAGTATGTGCATTAAAGAGGTCAAAAATTTAAAATTCCCAGTAATTTTCATAAGCACAAGGAAAAACAAAATAAAAATTAAGGAAAAATGGAAATTATTACTCTTAATCGGTTTTTGAAAATATCAATTTTGGTTTTCAAGCAGGTAACTCTGAAAAAATAACCGTAGATACATGACATTTTCACTGAATGTTTATATTAGCATTTTCTATACACCACAATATTTTCAAAACCATTTGCCTGATGTTGAGCTATTTATAGGCGCTCATATGAAATTTTAGATTATGGTTAGTTTTTTTTTTAAATTATTAATCTTGATAAGAAAATATTAGCTCGATCAAAAAACTTGAAAGAATAAATATCTAAGTAATACAATATTCATTGTAATTGTTTTTAAAGAAAATTAGAAAAAAATGTGGAACTTATATTAACAATAATTTGTATATACGTCTAATGTTCGAATTTCGACAACATTTTTAAAAATTACGAGGATTTGCTAATTATTTTCAGTTAGACATTCATAAAAATGTTTATGTTTATATAATATAAGTTTTTAAAATTTAGTACAATATTGTTCATTTTTTGTTTGTCTATATTTATCAAAAAAAAAAATTATTAATCGGATTGCCAAATTAAATTGTAATATATTGTATTATATTGAAGTTCAAATTTTTACGAACTTGGATATTCACTTGATTTGTCTGATCTGTCATGGAGTGATTTTCTTATTTTGTTGTAGGTAATTCAAAAACCCAATAACGTTAAATACTTTAAATGTACACCATATATTTATTTGTTTATTTTATAATTATATATACTTGACAAAATTTTTAATTCTGATTCGTTTTAAGCTGTTTTGGACATTTAAAATTGTTTTTCTATATTATTATATGTCCATAAAAAGATTCATTAGTCAAAAAGCTTGAAAATTTAATGAACTGCTTCTCACACATTGCTTCAATCTTAGTTTAAAAATATTAAAAATACATAGTCAAGAGTATTAAAATTTCAAATTTCGAAAAAAATGTAATGTTCAAATTATAAAGCTAAAGATTAAAAATTTAAAAAAGGTCAGTAAGCAGTTAATATAAACCAATTTTTTTTATAGTTATTTGAAGTTCAACTTTACATAAATATATTACATTACATTTTTACACTGTGGGGCTAAACAGCATTCAGGGGGACTATTCAAGGGCTATATAAATTAAATAAGTGGGCATGTAATATTCTGGTAGCTCTAACAGCTACTAGTATATTAACAGTTGCAGGCAGCTAGACCTTTTACTGTGAAGTTGAGGTAGTCGTTGAATAATAGTAACACAATTGCCAAGAGTATATTGTTATTTATTTAGTTCCAACAATCACAATGATGCTAAGTCCAAAATGACAATCGTTATACGGAGCTGCGTGAAGGTGCTTGCAGTAGTATTGAGTGTACACGTCTGAATACAGACCGTTTCGGGGTCCCTCTTATAGTTCGGTCCCCGCTCCCCTTGCCTAGTGATACGGTATCTTTGTTCCAGCGGATGTGGGCTATGTGGCCTTCGACCTAACTACGCATTTGCGAAATTGATAATCTATTACCCGCATTATTAATATATATATTGTATGCTAATTTGTGAACTGTCAATTCAATAAAATCATCATCATATTTTATTTTATATTAAATTTCCTTGTAAAATAAAGCTATCGCGTATAATATATATATATATATGTTACACACGCCATAATATGTTATAATATATATATATATATATATATAATGCCCGAATATTCTACATGATTGCAAACCCGCAATGGTCGTGTAATATTATTTCAACCAGGAAGGTTAATAAGTTTTTGTTTAATACATCTGCCCATTACCTATCTACCGTATATTATATTGAGTATGCTACCCGTCGAGACTTCAAATGTTACGTAGTAACTTGCTTACTACATCTCCCCCTTTAAAAGTTCATTTTTATCGTCTAAACGAGAAAAATTAACTCAATTTACTTTTTGTTAATTTCCGTTACTTCAAGCACCTTCCTATAGAAAAAATTTTACATACGTTAATTATTACATTTTTATGTTTACATATGTTGGTTTACAATTATATGATTTGGATACATTATTGGTTACAACAATTCATAATACAATATTATTATTATCAAAGTACAATATTATTATCAACAAAAACAATATAAAGTACAATATTATTATGAACAAAAGAATATAAGGTACAATCCACGATATATTCTTTTGATATTATATGTGTTTACAATATTACTGTAAGTTATTACAATATAAATTTAATTATTATTTATGTTAGTATTCTCTATGTTTAACAATATATATTTTTTTTCCCAATCATAATCTTATCCTAGTGTTAGTTTATTGATATAATATGAATTCTTAATCCTATTACAATATATTCTTTTTCATGCAATATATATATCATATTAATACGTATTTTCCCAACACCATGTTAATAACTATATTTCCTTTATTTATTACGTTTATCTTTTATTATTCCTATAAAATTTATTCTTAAATTTTCCTTTTTTTTTTTTTTTTTTTTTTTTTTTTTTTTTTTTTATAATATATATATTTCCCTTAACTTTATCCTTATCTAATATATACTTCCTAATTATCATATGATTTTATCTATTTTACTACAGTTCCAGACCAGCAATAAACTATTCACTCAAAGTTTTATTTCTGATCCAGTCCAGCATTAAAATGATTTTATTCTACTGTAAACGCTGCGTTTTGTATCTTGTTAATTGGAATCCCTAGCGTTCATTGTGCTATTTAATCAAAGTACCAATTTACGCTAATGACTAAATTAACAAGACTCTATCCATAATATTTTCTTATCGAGATTTTTTATTCATTCGATCCGTTGATGATCGTGTTCAAAAGTCCACTCTCATCATAACTTTTAAACCCACCACCAACAGATCAAATGCTTTCTTTCTTTTTTTCTGAGTATTTCAATCCGTCCGGAATATGATAATATGCCAAAGATCGTCATTTAATACTATTAAATCATTACGCACCATATCACATGTCGAACCGACTAAAATTTTTCCATTTTTGATTTTGAATGTTTTTCTATCTTGTTCGGGATATAATATCATGCCATAATCATGATTTATTAATATTGATTACAAGACATAATATTATACTCCGACTCGATTTTAAATTTTATATTCCTATTTATCTGTAATTTATAGAATTTATCTTTATTACTATATTATCATTACATTGAAATGTTATGTACAATTCCCTATTCATATATAGACGTTTATTTCAAGCTGTTGGTTAGTTTGCTGTTGAATAGCCCCATTTATCGGATCCATAGTATTATTATTAATTTATTACTTTAATATTACAACTAATATGTTCATCATGCCATAACATCTTAGATAAGTGTTTTAGGATTTGAACTTTAAATTATCCGAATTTTTTCACGAAATTTGC